GAAGGGAATTAGCTTTGGGATGGTGGCAGCGAACCAGATCTAAGCTGGTAGTTAAGCTTAGAAGTTTTCATGCAGGCCCCCACATTTGTACCCTAAAGTTCAGAGTGGGGAAGCAGCCTTGACACACCCCATTACAAAATTAGAATATGGAACAAAAAATTGAACAAGGAAGAGAATGAGAGCATCTGGGCTGGCAGACTGAGTGGGTTCAGGGACAGGCCTTTTTAGCCACAGTTAGGAAAGTCTGATCTGTAGCTGGCGTGTACTTGTCTACTAAGAATACGGCTATGAAACATCTGAGGGCCATAAACCATGGTTTGCAATTCTTACAGTGAGTATCTGTGAAGCAATTCCATGCTGGAGCTATCTGCATAATCTGAATTCTTTTTCCAAAGATGCAAAGCACTGTGACAGCAGTGGTAAAAGAATGGGGGAGAGAATCAAACTTGGTGATTAAAGGGATAGATATGGTGTAGAGTACAAAAGAGAAAATCAGTAGAAAAAAAATATAACAAGAAGTAAAGCTTACAGCATGGAACAAGGAGCTGTCTAGGAGCAGTACAGAGGTCAGAAAGGTTGGTGTAATGAATATCACAAAAGCTGTGTGGAAGAGCAAACAAGGTTGAAGAATAAATAAGAGTTGGTGAGACAGTGACATACAGAGACAGACACAAAAACCAAGTCAAAGGAGAGTAGCAGAATTGGCACAACGTTAGAGATCAAATAAAGTTAACAAAAGAAACTGCAGAAGTAGAACCACACTGGTAGTTGTGGAAGTTATTCTAGACAACCTCAAGGGTAAAAGATGGAGGTTTAAAGATTTATTAATTATTATTAATTATTAATAAATAATAAAATAATAATAATAATAATAATAAAAAAAATACTCATCAACATCAGAACTGGGGGTCGGCAGGTAAAACTTACTCAGAGAGACGAACCAAATAGAGTGGCCTTCCAAAAAAAATAAAAATAAAATAAAATTTAAAAAATGAGCTAGAAGTTACAGAATGGGTGGAGGAGCAGCCTAGAGCCAACTCCATGACCTTCAGATTTGGAGAGTGAGGATAAAGAGAACCATAGGGAAGAAAAGCAACAGATGCTGAGTCAGTGAAAAAGAACCAAGTTTTGATAAGAAGTGGAAGGAATCAGAGATAAAATGGTCAGATCTTGCTGACAAAACAGGAGAAGGGGAATTTAATGAGAGATAGCAAGTAGGTAAGAAGATGGTGTTAAGAGTAATAGGAAAGGGAAGATGCTGAGAAAGAATGAAGAGGGACACAGATGACAGACTACATGCATGGGAGTGTGGAAATGGATGGGGTAAGAGAGATACACAAGCATTGTTGTGTTCCTCTGTTTTGAGGCACTGCCCACAAAGGAGAAACAGCAGCCCTCCAATTCTTAATGCAAAATGAGCACCACAAAGGGCTGACACATGATGGGAGGATCCAACGGCGTGAAAAGCAGGGCATATGGTCACACTGAAGTGCAGGAAAGATCCACTAAAAGAGAATGATGTTACAGAATCCAGTATCTGGAGAAGCCGTGAAAGATGGGGAGAGAGGCCATGGTGGGTGTGTGGAAGGATATGGCTCCAGCTGCGAGAAAGGAAATCCACTTGGCAGTTGATTCTTCTCCTGTCTTTGTCAAAATTCTGTTTCTTACAAAAGGTGTTGAATTCTTGACCCTGTTCCAGACCAGCAGAACCACCATTTAACATCAATTGAGTGAGGAGTATGGAGAGCCATATTTGTCACTGTGATGCGGTGTATAACCCAACCCTAGGACAGAAGGGGTTAAGGAGCAGTTCTGGGCTCAGGTGATTCGGTTCTGCTGTACCTGTGAAGCCTGCTCCAGCTGGAGGAGGGGCTTAAAAGGGAGCTAGGCATCTCAGGGGTTCAGGAGACAGGGCATGACAGTAAAGGAGGAGAGACTTATATTGGGGGCTCCTGAATAAGGGTACAGCAGAGGTCCTGGCCGCAAGGAACAGGCCTACAATGGCAGCTACCCCCGCCTTCAGAGAAGGGGCCAGAGAAAAGACTCAGGAGAGAGGTAGCTGGAAACTTCTCTCTTTGGCTGAGGGAAGCCTGACTGGAGATGGAGGCCGATCAAAGACTGCAACCTGCCTGAAACCCTAGGTAGACAGAGAGTGCAATGGCATCAGGCACTGGGAGTGAAACGCAGAATTTAGGCCAGTTTGAAGCTGGGGCTAAGCTGTAAAGGCGGCGCCTACCAGCTGAGCCCAGGTGTGCTGAAGATTCAGTTGTTTTTGTTATTTTCTGTTGGATTTTAAGTGAAGGATTTTAAGGCCTTGTGAGGAAGCAAGTATTAAGATGTGGCACAGGAAGGCAGCCCCGAAGCACTCCAGGGTGTTTGCTATCACTGCCTCTCATAGGACTTTGGTTAGAGCCTGGTGGAGATGGAGGTCCAGGCTACCCTAACAACTGCCCTTTTTGGGGAGGGGGCATAAACTTGGAGGAAAGGAGAGGTTAGAGACATTGTAAGTCTCAAGTCAAGGGTGTACCAATCCATAGAGGTCTGGAGGTGAGCTGAAGATCCTTTCTGTTGTGGGGTTATTGAACTCTATATGTTTTATTGGATTTTTTTGTCCGGAAGGGGGAAGATGGCGATGTGGCCAGAAGGCCAAATTGCTACCTAGTGGAAGATGAACCACCACAGCGTTGGAGTGATGGCTGGCGAGGGATGCCAGTAATTGAGGAGAACTGGGACCCAATGACCTAACCACTAGGTAACACCACCAGTAAAGCCCAGCCCTCGCCAAAGGCACCTGTTCTCAGGCAGCAACGTTTTCTAGTGCAGACATACCTTTTAATCAGTGTGCCTTTATACCTTTAAAAGCCGGATCTGAACACCTATAAGCTTCCAAAATTCAAGTTCAAATAATCAGAAACTTGGTTTTTCCTCTCACTTCATTTTCTTTTATTTATCTATCTGAGGGGGAAAAAATCTCTTTTGAACACTGTACGCTGTAGTCCAGCGGTTCTCAAAGTATGGGTTGGGACCCCAAAGTGGGTTGTGATCCTGTTTTATTGAGGTCACCAGGGCTGCTGTTAGACTTGGTGAGGCCTGGGGTCAAAGCCCAAGCCCCACCGCCCAGGGCCGAAGCCCGAGGGCTTCAGCCCTGGGTGGCAGGGCTCAGGTTACAGGCCCCCTGCCTGGGGCTGAAGTCCTTGGGCTTTGACTCCAGACCCCCCCGCCTGCAGCAGTGGGGCTCAGTCTTTGGCCCCCCACTCCTGGGATAGTGTAGTAATTTTTGTTGTCCAAAGGGGGTCGCAGTACAATGAAATTTGAGAACCCCTGCTGTAGTCAAAACGTTTTTTCTCCAATCTTCCCCCTCCCCAAAAAATATTACCTGATAAATCCTGGCATTTTCCAGATACTCTAGCACGTTTAGCTCGATGACCAAAGTTCTCGGTTGCTGAAGTGGAGGCACCCTTTAACCATATAAATAAGAATTAATTAAGACATTATGGCACTTGCAAAAGTGTTCGTGTTAGCCACCTATTCCTGAAAACAAAATATACTTTATAAAAAAAAAATATTACCTCCATACTGCTCTTTGTAGGGCAAGCTGTTCTTTTAGGTAGAAGAGTTTTTCTGCGAAGTTGGTATGGACTATTTTGTGCACCAGGACCCGATTCTTCTGCAACCATATCTGCAGGTACATCATCATCTATCAAAAGGTCAAAAGGAAATTCAGTAATTTGAATTATACAGCTTCCACAAACTCATTAAAAAAGCGTGCAGGAAGTTTTGGTATTTTCCTGGTGCAAAAGAAGCATCAACGACTTGCTTTTCTAAGCACATGCAGCCAGAAAGATGCCACAATAATCCACTTGCTGGAAGTGCATACACAAGTTCATCTTCATGTATGCTCTCTATATTTTTATTTTCAATTGTTTTCTACACATTAACCCATTTCTTTCTTTGTATTTACACAATATTTATGCTACAAATTCTATGACGTCCTTTATACTAGGGCTTACTTTAACTTTATTAAATAAATTATTCACTGTGCTAATGAAGAGTCAACTTTTAAGTTTCAGTGCTTTTTACTTCTGCATACCACTACCTTTACAGTGAAAGATACAAAAGTTGTAAGTTAACCATAAGCTATCAAGAAGGCATCTACTTTGTCATCATATGTACCACAAAATTTAAGGCTGGTTTCCCTAAGCATTTCAGGGATGGTGCATCTCAATGTGCTAGGTCTTTACTACAGAGGTGAAAAACTAGCATAGTATTATCTAAAGAGGGAAAAAAAGTTGCTTTGTTTTTCATTTATTTGGCTAAAGACACAAAGAAGATGATAGTAATAAGCGTGTGCTCCCTCCAACCCCTTAATAAAACCAAGAACAATGGTATTATAAATTTCATTTGTACGGTTTTTGTTTTATTTCATGCTAGTACCTCATGAAAATGTTCTGACAGGAATACACTTAATGCAATGAGAAAGGAATAATCTGTTTTGATACTTTAATAATTAAATCATTCATTCACGACATTGTACCACACACATTAAACAATATAAGAACAAATACATGTGGAAGTCAAAGTATAAACTTGATGCTTCTTTCTTAATTAAGAAAGAAACCTGTATCTCTTACATAGGCCTCCTCAGAAAACACACTTTCTGCTTAACTGAGGAAAGATTTTTGGACTCACCTTTGTATATCTGTTCTCTCTCATTCTAAACCATTTTAAACTTGAAATATGGAATAAAAGTGAGTGATGGAGGTTGTGCAGGAAGAGATCTACTGAGGAAACCCCAATTTTTTTGTTCAAATGTAAGATATGCTAAATAGTCTGTGGTCAATGCATTTAATCTAAGAATAAAAATAATACAAAACAAAAGCTATCTTCACAGTTCAAGATTTTAATATCATTATTTCAAAAACATTAAAAAATTATAAAATACACCTCTACCTCGATACAACGCTGTCCTTGAGAGCCAAAAAATCTTACCACATTATAGGTGAAACCGCGTTATATTGAACTTGCTTTGATCCACCAGAGTATGCAGCCCCGCCACCCCGGAGGACTGCTTTACTGCGTTATATCCGAATTCGTGTTACATCGGATCGTGTTATATCAAGGTAGAGGTGTATATGCATAATATAGAGAGGATAATGCATACTTTTGTAAGCAAAGCTACTTCAAACAGCAGCAACTAATGTGAAAGAAAATTCTAAAAAACCATATACTTCGGATGTTCTCTCCCCATTATTATTTCTCTATCCATTATGTAAACCATCACTTCTCACCCTACAAGCCTTACTGAAAAACTGTCAGGTCACAGAGATGCTGGAGGAGATGTGAAATGGACTGAGCTCCATAAGAAAACAGGATTTAAAAAATAAAAAAAACCCAGCAAGCTTCACAGCCATAATTAAACTACTCATCTTAGCTAGTTATATGGCACTTATTACCATAGTATATGAGCACCTCACAATCTCCAAAGTATTTATCTTCACAACACCCCCGTGAGGCAAGACAGTGCTAATATCCCAATTTTATAGATGGGGAACTGAGGTGCAAAGAGACTAATGATTAGATTCATGATGAAGTTGAGCGCTGCCAAACCTAACTTTTAGGTGTCTAGAAAATCACTGCAGTTCACAAAAACCGAGTAAGACGTTCAGGCTTCCTGTAAAACGAACGGTGCGTCAAAATGGGATCACAAAATCCAGCACACCAGTCAGGTCCCACCTAAACTAGCCAATGGGAGAGTCTAAGGTGAGGAGTGTGTGCTAAGCCCTGCCCCTCTCACAAAGATACGTGCCTGAGTCCAGGCTGCAGGGGAGGCACCTCCCTCTGCCTGGGATTCTCAGCTGCAAACTCGCTCTTGGCATTAGGAGCCTATGCTGTTTTTGCAAGAAGCTGAGGTGCGGGGAGCTCCCTCATAATAGACAAGAGTTCTCACCTAGGATGTGGGAGACCCCCAGTCCCTCCTCCATGTGAGTGGGAGAAGGCATTTAAACAGGGATCTGCCACCTCTCAGGTGAGCTCTGGGATATTCTGATGGGGGCGGGGGGGGAGAAAGAGGTTCCATCAACCTCTTCTGCTGAAGATATTCCACCGTGGATAAATAATGTTTAAAAGTTATTGAAGCAGGGGACTGGATCATGGCTTTCCACTCCCAGGTGAGTGCTCTAACCAGGCTATAGCGTCATTCTGATGCTTGCTCTCTCTCGCTCTCTCTTTGGCCCAATGATTCTTTCATTATTTATCCTCATTCAGCTTCAACAGGAGAGACTAAGGGAGACCCACATCAGAATATCCCATAGCCCAGTGGATAGGGCCCTCACCTGAGAAGTGGAAAATCCCTGTTTAAATGCCTTCTCTGCCTCAGTTGAAGGGGAAATGGAACTGGGGGTCTCCCACATCACAGGTGAGAACCCTAACCAATGAGCTAAAAGTTATGAGGGAAGTCCTCCTCAAACCCCTCAGGCTGTTTTGTGTAAGCTCATCTACAGGGGCCCCATTTGTTAGGCAAGCTCTGAGCACACTTACCTGATCAGGACCCAAAAGCAAGTTAGGAGGAGAAACACCTATCTTCCCCCAGTTTGTGCACTGCTCTGGGCCTGCAGTGGGGTTGCAGTGCGCATGCACATAGGCAGAAACATAGGTGACTAGGGAACTTTTACTGCAAAAATGTAGGCATCAAATGACTTTAGGTGCCTACAGGGTTTGGTGGCAGCTAAACAGGGGGGTTGTGAATCCCAGTAGGGCCGGATTCTGAGACTTAGGCTTTACCAGCCTCCTCTAACCTAGAACTCAGTTTGTTACCACCAATGGTGAATTACAGCCACAAAATGTATTAGTGTAGATGCACCCCTGCTCTAAACAATGAGGCTGTAATGCTGCAGAATATGTGTCACTGATTAATGCAGTACTTCCAAACTACTATAAGAAACAGAAAAAAGAATCAAGGAGACAAAGAAAAAATTGGAAAAAAACTCCCAACTCAGCAGTTTGATCTTCCTACAACTAGAGAGAGAGGGAAGATTTTCATGGATAATCCCACTCTGGTTCTTAAAGTAAAACAGTAATAGTCACTTCGGATAAAAAGATGCTGTCATTGCTGCAAGAGAAAACAGAAGTTTAAGTAAAATCAAAATTTAAATATTAGGATGACACCACTAAAAAAAGTGTCTAGTGCGAAGACAGAGGCAAGGACATATTCCCTTTCTTTATAAGTAACTATTATCCTCTACCACGATTATCTGGAGGAAGAGAGCATGTCTCAGAATACTTCTCTAGAATTAGAAGATGTATATACATCTCCAAACGCGAATTCATAAAAGTTAATCAAAGACTTTAAAAACCTTCTATATGATCAAATAATCTACATTACATAATGATAGAAACAGAGGTGGCTAGGATATACAAAAGAATGACATCTTGGATTTTTGGGTTAAAACTTTCAAAGAAAAGATCTTAAGTGCAAAGTAAGATTCATGTGTACATACACTATACTTTTATTAGAGCAATTTAAGATCTAAATATAATTAGAAAGAGGAGAGTTGAATGAGATGATAGGGGTAAGAGGAATAGCAGAGATCTGTGTAGGCCTGGAAGAACTGTAGGTCTTTGGGGAAAGGGCCTTGTTAGGGAGTCTGGCGCTGTGTGAAGGGGAGAGCTAGGTTGGAGGGAAGGACCCCAATCCCCTGGGTCCCATCATCACTGTTTTTAAGGGCCGTGTAATAGTCCCTCACTCGGAGGGAGGCCACTCAGGCTTGTCCTGTCGGGCCAGGACCAGAGTCTGCAAGACAGGCAAGAGCCTGCAATAGGGCTGTGCGATTAATAGTTGCTGCGACCTTGTGTAGATAATATGGAATGTAGACTAAGAGTCTACATTAGTGAGCAAAACAAGATATCAGAATGACCTATGTATAAACAAAATGCAGCTGTTGCTTATTATTGTCTGTAACAAAAGGTATAAATGCTTGCTCTAATTGTTTACCTGTTGAGAGACCTGCTTAGCTCTCTCCCTCTGCGCAGTTGTGAGAGTTAATAAAGCATCTGACTTGCTGTACCCAAACAAATAGTGAGAACTCTGTTTTTCTCCGACAATTTGGGGGCTCGTCCGGGATGGCAACGCCCGCAGAGGCGTCGGCAGCTGCTACGGATCGTTCCCCTTCGAACCCCATGGCGCCACAATAGAGGTAGGAGACCTTTTGAAATCTCTATTGGGGTGTCGGAGGAGGACTGTCCATGGGGCCGTCTGTCCCTGTTGGGCTCACGCCATCCGAACTTACTGACTGTGCAGCAAGGTCAGATGCTGAGCGGCTTAGGGGAATTGTTGCTGCCCCCTGTATGCATATGCGAGGTGCATAGGCATGCACCAGTGTTGAGGGATTGTTACCGCCTCAGGAGGGGTTTTTACCGCCTCGAGTGATGCATCGAGGTACTTGGGAATAGTACCTGGAATAAGAGAGAGAGAGAGAGAGAGAGAGTGTGTGTGTGTGTGTGTGTACACGCACACACCAGTGTGAATTGAATGTTACCGGAAGACGTCCAGAGTCCTCTGCGAAGTCTTTTGGCTCGTGACCAGAACTACTCTAACGCAAGCCCGGTAACTAGAGGATCTTTTAGGAGATCCGACCCACGGTGGGCTAACTCGGCCTGGCATCGTCCAGCGAGGAGGCTACCTGGGTCTAGGAGCGTGTGAACCCATCTTCCCTCCCCTTTTCCTCTC